ATACCTGGTTTGTTGTTAGTCAATGATATCTGGTATGTTGTGTTAGTCAATGATATCTGGTAAGTTATTAGTCAATGATATTTGGTATGTTGTTAGTCAATGATATCTGGCAAGATGTTAGTCAATGATATTTGGTATGTTGTTAGTCAATGATATCTGGTATGTTGTTAGTCAATGATATTTGGTATGTTGTTAGTCAGTGATATCTGATATGTTGTTAGTCAGTGGTATTTGGTATGTTGTTAGTCAGTGATATCTGGTATGTTGTTAGTCAATGATATCTGGTAAGTTGTAAGTCAATGATATCTGGTATGTTGTTAGTCAATGATATCTGGTATGTTGTTAGTCAATGATATCTGGTATGTTGTTAGTCAATGATATCTGGTATGTTGTCAGTCAGTGATATCTGATAAGTTGTTAGCCAATGATGTTGTTAATTAATGATATTTGGTATGTTGTTAGTCAATGATATCTGGCAAGATGTTAGTCAATGATATTTGGTATGTTGTTAGTCAATGCTATTTGGTATGTTGTTAGTCAATGCTATTTGGTATATTGTTAGTCAATGATATCGGGTAGGTTGTTAGTCAATGATATTTGGTATGTTGTTAGTCAATGATATCTGGTATGTTGTTTATCAATGATATTTTGTATGTTGTTATTCAATGATATCTGGTATTTTGTTAATCAATGATATCTTGTATGTTGTTAAACAATGATATCTGGTATGTTATTTATCAATGATATCTGGTTTGTTGTTAGTCAGTGATATCTGGTATGTTGTTAGTCAGTGATATCTGGTATGCTGTTAATCAATGATATTTAGTTTGTTGTTAGTTAATTATATCTGGTATGTTGTAAGTCAATGATATCTTGTATGTTGTTAGTCAATGATATCTGGTATGATGTCAATCAATGATATCTGGTATCTTGTTAGTTAGTGATATCTGGTATGTTGTTAGTCAATGATATCTGGTATGTTGTTAGTCAATGATATCTGGTATGATGTTAATCAATGATATCTGGTATGTTGTTAGTCAATGATATCTGGTAAGTTGTTAGTCAATGATATTTAGTATGTTGTTAATCAATGATATCTGGTATGTTGTTAGTCAGTGATATCTGGTATGTTGTTAGTCAATAATATTTGGTATGTTGTTAATCAATGATATCTGGTATATTGTTAGTCAGTGATATATGGTTTGTTGTTAGTCAATGATATTTGGTATATTGTTTAGACAATGATATCTGGTATGTTGTTAATCAATGATATTTGGTATGTTGTTAGTTAGTGATATTTGGTATGTTGTTAGTCAATGATATCTGGTTAGTTGTTAGTTAGTGATATTTTGTATGTTGTTAGTCAATGATATCTGGTTAGTTGTTAGTCAATGATATTATGTATGTTGTTAGTCAATGATATCTGCTATGATGTTAGTCAATGATATCTGGTTAGTTGTTAATCAATGATATTTGGTATGTTGTTAGTCAATGATATTTGGTATGTTGTTATTCAATAATATTTGGTATATTGTTAGACAATGATATCTGGTTAGTTGTTAATCAATGATATCTGGTATGTTGTTAGTCAATGATATTTGTTATGTTATTTGGTATGTTGTTAGTCAATGATATTTGGTATATTGTTAGACAATGATATCTGGTTAGTTGTTAATCAATGATATCTGGTATGTTGTTAGTCAATGATATTTGGTATGTTATCTGGTATGTTGTTAGTCAATGATATTTGGTATGATATTATGTATGTTGTTAGTCAATGATATCTGGTTAGTTGTTAATCAATGATATTTGGTATGTTGTTAGTTAGTGATATTTGATATGTTGTTAGTCAATGATATTTGGTATGTTGTTAGTCAATGATATCTGGTATGTTGTTAGTCAATGATATCTGGTATGTTGTTAGTCAATGATATTTGGTATGTTGTTAGTCAATGATATCTGGTTAGTTGTTAATCAATGATATTTGGTATGTTGTTAGTTAGTGATATTTGGTATGATGTTAGTCAATGATATTTGGTATGTTGTTAGTCAATGATATCTGGTATGTTGTTAGTCAATGATATCTGGTATGTTGTTAGTCAATGATATTTGGTATGTTGTTAGTCAGTGATATCTGGTATGTTGTTAGTCAATGATATTTGGTATGTTATTTGGTATGTTGTGAGTTAGTGATACTTGGTATGTTGTTAGTCAGTGATATCTGGTATGTTGTTAGTCAGTGATATCTGGTATGTTGTTAGTCAGTGATATCTGGTATGTTGTTAGTCAGTGATATCTGGTATGTTGTTAGTCAATGATATTTGGTATGTTGTTAGTCAGTGATATTTGGTATGTTGTTAGTCAGTGATATTTGGTATGTTGTTAGTAAATGATATTTGGTATGTTGTTAGCCAATGATATTTGGTATGCACTTGTATCAGCATTTGTACGTCTCATTGACTTCAGACTTTTTGCATAGTTTACACAAGTTTGTGTTTATGTCAATTTAATGGGAACCTGACTTGTGATAATTCAATGACATTTGGTATTCAATTCTATTTGCATTGGAATTCCTCATTTTCACGAAGGTTATTTGGTCCTGTACCATGTCCACTTTCAGTCATGGTTTATTGAATTTGAATATTTTGCATAGTTTACATGTTGAAGTATATATATATATATACATGTATTGCCGTTTTATTTTCACCATTTGCAATACACTTTAAAAAATGCATATAGGCTAGACATATCTCTGTCATGTCTGTGTTAACATTTTATCATTTCTTCTTAGCATTGGCCCATACAATTGATCTGATGTTACCAGCTAGATTAGCAGGGAATAAACAAATAAGGAGACGTCACAAATCAGACACAAACTGTCAGTCTGCAGAAATGGAGCAAAATATGAAAAGAATCCAGCAGTATATCAGGAATAAGTATGTCCATTTTATTGTGTCCAGGTCATATACATGCTTTTAAGGGACAGAGACGTTCAAAACCATAATCTATATCTATCTTTAAATGTTGCTAAGCAGCTGTCCTATGCAAGGATCCAGAAATTTTTTCACACAATTTCTGTCATTTTAAGATGACATAAAAGTTGGTGTCCTTTTTATATGACGTATTATGGTATACCGTTGTCCGTTTGTCCCTCCGTCGTCAACATGTCGGACATTAACTCAAAAACGCTTTAACCAATTTGCATAAAACTTTGGTGAATTGTTTATATCTATTGACGTGAGCTCCCTTTCATTTTTTATAAATTTTAGATTTTACGTTTCCGAGTTGTGGGGTTTTATTCATAAAAAAAAGGGGGATTTTCCAGTTTTCAGACAATAACTCAAGAATGCTTTCACCAACTTGCAAGAAATTGTGGTGAATTGTTTATATCTATTGACAAGAGCTCCCTTTTGATTTTTATATATTTTAGATTTTACGTTTCCGAGTTACAGGGTTTTATTCATAAAAAAAGGGTGATTTTCCCTTTTTCGGACAAAAAATCAAAAATGCTTTCAGCAATTCATATGAAACTTTGGTGAATTGTATATATCTATTGATGTAAGCTCCTTTTAGAATTTTATAAATTTTACATTTTACATTTCTGAGTTATGGGGTTTTATTCAGTAAAAAAGGGGGGATTTTCCAGTTTTCGGACAATAACTCAAAAATGCTGTCAGCAATTCTCATGAAACTTTGGTGAATTGTTTATATCTATTGATGTAAGCTCCCTTTACATTTTCATAAATTTCTAATATGACATTGAGAATTAATTGAACTTTATTTGTTTATAGTCTGACAACAGATTTACGAAGTATTGCACAACAGCACAGTGTATTGCACAACAGCAAGAAATCTTTAATTGAATCTAAATTCAATTCATATAACCAATTTCAAGTTCTTTCACTACATTTATTCAGAAACCTATAATATGTCAAATATTTAATACAATCCAAATTCAGACCTGTATCAAGCTTGAATATTGTGTCCATTTTTGCCCCAACTGTTCAGGGTTGGACCTCTGCAACTATAGTGCAAGTAAAACTGATTCATTTCTGGGATTAGTTTTGTTTATCAAATTGACAGGAAATCACAGGCTTTTTAATTTTATTACTTTCAAAAGTGTTTGAATATAACATATGATAGATGCACTTGTTTATTTTGTCATGAAATCATTTTCATTTTTATACGACCGCAAACAAATTTTTGTGGTCGTATATTGGTATGATGTGGCGTCGTCGTCGTCGTCGTCCGAAGACACATTAGTTTTAATACCACAAAAGGAAGGTTGGGATTGATTTTGGGGGTTATGGTACCAACAGTTAAGGAATTAGGGGTCAAAAAGGGGCAAAAAATAAGCATTTTCTAGTTTCCAGACAATAACTGTGGAACGGTGTATGGATCTTTCTGAAATTATACTACAAGTTTCCATACCACAAAGGGATGGTTAGGATTTGCTTTGGGGGGTTATGGCTCAAACCGTTTAAGAATTAGGGGCAAAAAAGGGGGAAAAACAAGGTTGTCCTGGTTAATGGACAAATACTTTAGTACAAAACATAATTTAACGCTGTGTAAGGGAGATAAAATCAAATACATCATTGAAATTATCTCCCTTACACTGCTTTTAAATTATGTATAAAGTAATGGTAAATGAACAATTAAGATAATTTAAAACAGTGTAAGGGAGGTAATCCAAATACAACATTTTGGTTACTTCCCTTACACTGCTTTAAAATTATGATTAAAGAAGTGCATATTTATAAAGGAAGACCAGTAAAAATATCTGCAAATGTTGCATCTTTTTTTTTTACAAAAAAATCCATATGAAAGATTTGACACTATATTTTAAATTCTATTATAAAATAGATTAAGTTAGCACTATGGTAAATTTAAATGGGTAATTATGGTTGCAAACTCCATTGGAAATTTGAATTGAGATTATGACCATATCTTGAGGGAAAGATTTTTTTTTGGAAAAAAAGGGGGGGGGGGGGGGGGGGGTAAAAAGAAATTGTGGGGGGTCAATTTTTTCTCATTTCAGATTTCAGAAATTAAAAAGAATTATTCTTCAAATATTATTTTTTTTTCAAATTTCAAATATTGAAAAATTTCAAGAAGTAATCTTTAATTGCACAGTATGGCGCATTAGATTTGTAAAATCTTTGACCACATTTATTTATTTGTTATGCCGAATCTAACGGTGTATTTAGATTTTTAATTTTGGGTCCAGTTTTCAAATTGGTCTACATTAAGGTCCAAAGGGTCCAAAATTAAACTTTTGTTTGATTTTAACAAAAATTGAATATTTGGGGTTCTTTGATATGTTGAATCTATACATGTATTTAGATTTTTGATTTTTGGCCCAGTTTTCAAGTTGGTCCAAATCGGGGTCCAAAATTAAACTTTGTTTGATTTCAACAAAAATTGAATATATGGGGTTCTTTGATATGCTGAATCTAACCATGTATTTAGATTTTTATTTGTGGACCCCGCTATCAAATTGGTTCATATTGAGGTCAAAGTTGGGGTCCAAAATTAAACTTTGTTTGATTTCATCAAAAATTTAATTATTGGGGTTCTTTGATATGCTGAATCTAAACATGTGTTTAGATTTTTGATTTTGGGCCCAGTTTTCAAGTTGGTCCAAATTGGGGTCCAAAATTAAACTTTGTTTGATTTCAACAAAAATTGAATATATGGGGTTCTTTGATATGCTGAATCTAAACATGTATTAAGATTTTAGATTTTTGGCCCAGTTTTCAAGTTGGTCCAAATTGGGGTCCAAAATTAAACTTTGTTTGATTTCAACAAAAATTGAATATATGGGGTTCTTTGATATGCTGAATCTTACCATGTATTTAGATTTTTTATTTGTGGGCCCGCTATCAAATTGGTTCATATTGAGGTCAAAAGGGTCCAAAATTAAACTTTGTTTGATTTCATCAAAAATTGAATTCTTGGGGTTCTTTGATATGCCAAATCTAACCGTGTTTTTAGATTTTTAATTTTGGGTCCCGTTTTTATACGACCGCAAAAAAATTTTGTGGTCGTATATTGGTATGACGTTGGCGTTGTCGTCGTCCGGCGTCATCGTCCGAAGACACATTGGTTTTCGCACTCTAACTTTAGTTTAAGTGAATGGATCTTTTTGAAATTTGACCATAAGGTTAAATACCACAAAAGGAAGGTTGGGATTGATTTTGGGGGTTATGGTACCAACAGTTAAGGAATTAGGGGCCAAAAAGGGGCCAAAAATAAGCATTTTCTAGTTTCCAGACAATAACTGTGGAACGGTGTATGGATCTCTCTGAAATTATACTACAAGTTTCCATACCACAAAGGGATGGTTAGGATTTGCTTTGGGGGGTTATGGCTCAAACTGTTTAGGAATTAGGGGCAAAAAAGGGGGAAAAACAAGGTTGTCCTGGTTAATGGACAAATACTTTAGTACAAAACATAATTTAAAGCAGTATAAGGGAGATAAATCAAATACATCATTGAAATTATCTCCCTTACACTGCTTTTAAATTATGTATAAAGTAATGGTTAATGAACAATAAAGATAATTTAAAACAGTGTAAGGGAGGTAATCCAAATACAACGTTTTGGTTACTTCCCTTACACTGCTTTTAAATTATGTGTAAAGAAATGCATATTTATAAAGGAAGACCAGTAAAAATATCTGCAAATGTTGCATCTTTTTTTTTTACAAAAAAATCCATATGAAAGATTTGACACTATATTTTTATTCGACCGAAAAAAAATTTTGCGGTCGTATATTGGTATGACGTTGGCGTCGTCCGAAGACACATTGGTTTTCGCACTCTAACTTTAGTTTAAGTGAATGGATCTCTATGAAATTTTACTAAAAGGTTCAATACCACAAAAGGAAGGTTGGGATTGATTTTGGAGGTTATGGTACCAACAGTTAAGGAATTAGGGGCCAAAAAGGGGCCAAAAATAAGCATGTTTGTAACTTCCAGACATAACTTGTGTGTTAGTGTATGGATCTCTTTGACATTGTACCACAAGGTTCCATATCACACAGGGAATGCTGGGATTGATTTTGGGGGGTAATTGCCTCAAAATATTAGGAATTAGGGGCCAAAAAAGGGGCAAAAAACAAGCATTTTTCTAGTTTCATGACAATAACTTGTGTGTAAGTGTATGGATCTTTCTGAAATTGTACTACAAGGTTCCATTTCACAAAGGGAAAGCTGGAATTGAGTTTGGGGGTAATTGCCCAAAACGTTTAGGAATAAGGGGCCAAAAAGGGGCCAAAAATAAGCATTTTTCTAGTTTCCAGACAATAACTTGTGTTCAAGTGTATGGATCTCTTTGAAATTGTACCACAAGGTTCCATATCACACAGGGAATGCTGGGATTGATTTTGGGGGTAATTGCCTCAAAATATAAGGAATTAGGGGCCAAAAAAGGGGAAAAAAACAAGCATTTTTCTAGTTTCATGATAATAACTTGTGTGTAAGTGTATGGATCTTTCTGAAATTGTACTACAAGGTTTCATATCACAAAGGGAAAGCTTGAATTGAGTTTAGGGGTAATTGCCCAAAATGTTTAGGAATAAGGGGCCAAAAAGGGGCCAAAAATAAGCATTTTTCTAGTTTCCAGACAATAACTTGTGTTCAAGTGTATGGATCTCTCTGAAATTGTACTGCAAGGTACCATACCACAAAGGGAAGGCTGGGATTGAGTTTGGGGGTGATGAATCATATGGGGGTTCAAAAAATTTGGGGGGGGGATTTTTTTTTTTCCACTTTTTTTTTTTTTTTTTTTTTTTTTTTCTTTTAAAATTTTCCATTTAAAGTTGGTTATTTCTGTTTTATATTTAAAAGCAAATAATAATGATATGGTAGGAGATACACACCAAACAGGATGTGTAAATTATTATATAATAAGTATTGTGCAATAGCAAGAAATTTTCAATTGCACAGTATTGCACAATAGCAAGAAATTGTCAATTGTACAGTATTGCGCAATAGCAAGAAATATTCAATTGCACAGTATTGTGCAATAGCAAGAAATATCCAATAGCACAATATTGCGCAATAGCAAGAAATTGTCAATTGTACAGTATTGCGCAATAGCAAGAAATATTCAATTGCACAGTATTGTGCAAAAGAAGATACTTCGTATAAATTGCTTATTTCTTGTTCAATTTCAATGGGGTTTTATTCTTGAATTCTTGGGGTTCTTTAATATGCTGAATCTTACCATGTATTAAGTTTTTGGATTTTGGGCCCCGTTTTTAAATTGGTCCACATTGAGGTCCAAAGGGTCCAAAATTAAACTTTGTTTGATTTCAACAAAAATTGAATATATGGGGTTCTTTGATATGCTGAATCTAACCATGTTTTTAGATTTTTGATTTTTGGGCCCCGTTATCAACTTTGTCCACATTGAGGTCAAAAGGGTCCAAAATTAAACTTTGTTTGATGTCATCAAAAATTGAATTCTTGGGGTTCTTTGATATACTGAATCTAACCATGTATTTAGATTTTGGATATTGGACCATAATAGGTGAATGTCCAATTTCAAATTTTTAAGTTCTTAGACCACATTCATTCTGTGTCAGAAACCTATGCTGTGTCAAATATTTAATCAAAATCCAAATTCAGAGCTGTATCAAGCTTGAATGTTGTGTCCATACTTGCCCCAACTGTTCAGGGTTTCGACCTCTGCGGTCGTATCAAGCTGCGCCCTGCGGAGCATTTTATTAATTCTATTATAAAATAGATAAAGTTAGCACTATGGTAAATTTAAATGGGTAATTATGGTTGCCAACTCCATTGGAAATTTGAATTGAGATTATGACCATATCTTGAGGGAAAGAATTTTTTTGGGGAAAAAAGGGGGGGGGATAAAAAGAAATTGTGGGGGGTCAATTTTTTCTCAATTCAGATTTCAGAAATTAAAAAGAATTATTCTTCAAATATTTTTTTTTTTTCAAATTTCAAATATTGAAAAATTTCAAGAAGTAATCTTTAATTGCACAGTATGGCGCATTAGATTTGTAAAATCTTTGATCACATTTATTTATTTGTTATGCCGAATCTAACAGTGTATTTAGATTTTTAATTTTGGGTCCAGTTTTCAAATTGGTCTACATTAAGGTCCAAAGGGTCCAAAATTAAACTTTGTTTGATTTTAGCAAAAATTGAATATATGAGGTTCTTTGGTATGCTGAATCTAAACAAGAATTTAGATTTTTGATTTTTGGTCCAATTTTCAATTTGGTCCAAATTGGGGTCCAAAATTAAACTTTGTCTGATTTCAACAAAAATTGAATATATGGGGTTCTTTGATATGCTGAATCTAACCATGTAATTAGAATTTTTATTTGTGGACCCCGTTATCAAATTGGTTCATATTGAGGTCAAAAGGGTCCAAAATTAAACTTTGTTTGATTTCATCTAAAATTGAATTATTGGGGTTCTTTGATATTCCAAATCTAACCGTGTATTTAGATTTTTAATTTTGGGTCCTGTTTTTTAAATTGGTCTACATTAAGGTCCAAAGGGTCCAAAATTAAACTTAGTTTGATTTTAGCAAAAATTGAATTCCTGGGGTTCTTTGATATGCTGAATCTAAACATGTGTTTAGATTTTTGATTATGGGCCCAGTTTTCAAGTTGGTCCAAGATAGGGTCCAGTATTTAAACTTTGTTTGATTTCAACAAAAATTGAATATATGGGGTTCTTTGATATGCTGAATCTAAACATGTATTTAGATTTTTGATTATGGGCCCAGTTTTCAAGTTGGTCCAAATTGGGGTCCAAAATTAAACTTTGTTTGATTTTAACAAAAAATTGAATATATGAGGTTCTTTGATATGCTGAATCTAACCATGTATTTAGATTTTTTATTTGTGGGTCCCACTATCAAATTGGTTCATATTGAGGTCAAAAGGGTCCAAAATTAAACTTTTTTTGATTTCAACAAAAATTGAATATATGAGGTTCTTTGATATGCTGAATCTAACCATGAATTTAGATTTTTTATTTGTGGGCCCCGCTATCAAATTGGTTCATATTGAGGTCAAAAGGGTCCAAATTAAACTTTGTTTGATTTCATCAAAAATTGAATTATTGGGGTTCTTTGATATTCCAAATCTAACCGTGTATTTAGATTTTTAATTTAAAGTCCCTTTTTTTAAATTGGTCTACATTAAGGTCCAAAGGGTCCAAAATTAAACTTAGTTTGATTTTAGCAAAAATTGAATTCTTGGGGTTCTTTGATATGCTGAATCTAAACATGTGTTTAGATTTTTGATTATGGGCCCAGTTTTCAAGTTTGTCCAAGTTGGGGTCCAAAATTAAACTTTGTTTGATTTTAATAAAAATTGAATATATGGGGTTCTTTGATATGCTGAATCTAACCATGTATTTTGATTTTGGACATTGGACCAGGTAAATTAAAAAAATCCAAGTTCTTAGTACACATTCTTTCTGTGTCAGAAACCTATGCTGTGTCAAATTTTTAATAACAATCCAAATTCAGAGCTGTATCAAGCTTGAATGTTGTGTCCATACTTGCCCCAACTGTTCAGGGTTCGACCTCTGCGGTCGTATCAAGCTGCGCCCCAGCGAAGAATTTTATTTTATTAAGTGTCTAATTTACTGAAGACAATTTTAGACATGCGTTAATTACATAGTAAATATAGCATATGTGTTACTCATGAAAAAATACTTTTTTCTACGTAAATTAAATTAAGTTTTAATTTTTAAATCAGAATTGATGATTGTCTTTGCTGAAAAGTAATTAAAGAGCGGGCTGGTGGGTTATTTTCTTCCTTCGTGATCGTGGAAATTTGCTTTCCGTTATTTGTTTTTTCATGGATTTATTATCCGTGACTCGTGATAAGTGCATTTTTCGTGACTCGTTTTCAATTGGTTTTAAATCTTTGTTTTTATACGACCGCAAAAATTAAAAATTTTTTGGTCGTATATTGGTATGACGTTGGCGTCGTCGTCGTCGTCGTCGTCGTCGTCGTCGTCGTCGTCGTCGTCCGGCGTCGTCTGGCGTCGTCCGAAGACACATTGGTTTTCGCACTCTAACTTTAGTTTAAGTGAATGGATCTCCATGAAATTTCACCATAAGGTTCAATACCACTAAAGGAAGGTTGGGATTGATTTTGGGGGTTATGGTACCAACAGTTAAGGAATTAGGGGCCAAAAAGGGGCCAAAAATAAGCATTTTTGTAACTTTCAGACAATAACTTGTGTGTAAGTGTATGGATCTCTCTGACATTGTACCACAAGGTTCCATATCACAAAGGGAAGGCTGTAATTGATTTTGGGGGTAATTGCCTCAAAATTTTAGGAATTAGGGGCCAAAAAAGGGGCAAAAAACAAGCATTTTTCTAGTTTCATGACAATAACTTGTGTGTAAGTGTTTGGATATTTCTGAAATTGTACTACAAGGTTCCATATCACAAAGGGAAAGCTGGAATTGAGTTTGGGGGTAATTGCCCGAAACGTTTAGGAATTGGGGGCCAAAAAGGGGCCAAAAATAAGCATTTTTCTAGTTTCCAGACAATAACTTGTGTTCAAGTGTATGGATCTCTCTGAAATTGTACTGCAAGGTACCATACCACAAAGGGAAGGCTGGGATTGAGTTTGGGGGTGATGAATCATAAGGGGGTACAAAAAATTTGGGGGGGGGGGGATTTTTTTTTTTTTCTTTTTTTCCTTTTTTTTTTCTTTTAAAATTTTCCATTTTAAGTTGGTTATTTCTGATTTATATTTAAAAGCAAATAATAATGATATGGTAGGAGATATACACCAAACAGGATGTGTAAATTATTATATAATAAGTATTGTGCAATAGCAAGAAATTTTCAATTGCACAGTATTGCACAATAGCAAGAAATCTTCAATTGCGCAGTATTGCGCAATAGCAAGAAATCTTCAATTGCACAGTATTGCGCAATAGCAAGAAATATCCAATAGCACAATATTGCCCAATAGCAAGAAATTGTCAATTGTACAGTATTGCGCAATAGCAAGAAATTGTCAATTGTACAGTATTGCGCAATAGCAAGAAATATTCAATTGCACAGTATTGTGCAAAAGAAGATACTTCGTATAAATTGCTTATTTCTTGATCAATTTCAATGGGGTTTTATTCTTGAATTCTTGGGGTTCTTTAATATGCTGAATCTAACCGTGTATTAAGTTTTTGGATTTTGGGCCTCGTTTTTAAATTGGTCCACATTGAGGTCCAAAGGGTCCAAAATTTAACTTTGTTTGATTTCATCAAAAATTGAATTATTGGGGTTCTTTGATATGCCGAATCTAACCGTGTATATAGATTTTTAATTTTGGGTCCCGTTTTTTAAATTGGTCTACATTAAGGTCCAAAGGGTCCAAAATTAAACTTAGTTTGATTTTAACAAAAAATGAATTCTTGGGGTTCTTTGATATGCTGAATCTAAACATGTGTTTAGATTTTTGATTATGAGCCCAGTTTTCAAGTTGGTCCAAGTTGGGGTCCAAAATTAAACTTTGTTTGATTTCAACAAAAAATGAATATATGGGGTTCTTTGATATGCTGAATCTTAACATGTATTTAGATTTTAGATTTTTGGCCCAGTTTTCAAGTTGGTCCAAATTGGGGTCCAAAATTAAACTTTGTTTGATTTCAACAAAAATTGAATATATGGGGTTCTTTGATATGCTGAATCTTACCATGTATTTAGATTTTTTATTTGTGGGCCCGCTATCAAATTGGTTCATATTGAGGTCAAAAGGGTCCAAAATTAAACTTTGTTTGATTTCATCAAAAATTGAATTATTGGGGTTCTTTGATATGCCAAATCTAACCGTGTATTTAGATTTTTAATTTTGGGTCCTGTTTTTTAAATTGGTCTACATTAAGGTCCAAAGGGTCCAAAATTAAACTTAGTTTGATTTTAACAAAAATTGAATTTTTGGGGTTCTTTGATATGCTGAATCTAAACATGTGTTTAGATTTTTGATTATGGGACCAGTTTTCAAGTTTGTCCAAGTTGGGGTCCAAAATTAAACTTTGTTTGATTTCAACAAAAATTGAATATATGGGGTTCTTTGATATGCTGAATCTAAACATGTTTTTAGATTTTTGGCCCAGTTTTCAAGTTGGTCCAAATTGGGGTCCAAAATTAAACTTTGTTTGATTTCAACAAAAATTGAATATATGGGGTTCTTTGATATGCTGAATCTTACCATGTATTTAGATTTTTTATTTGTGGGCCCGCTATCAAATTGGTTCATATTGAGGTCAAAAGGGTCCAAAATTAAACTTTGTTTGATTTCATCAAAAATTGAATAATTGGGGTTCTATGATATGCCAAATCTAACCGTGTTTTAAGATTTTTAATTTTGGGTCCCGTTTTTTAAATTTGTCTACATTAAGGTCCAAAGGGTCCAAAATTAAACTTAGTTTGATTTTAACAAAAATTGAATTCTTTGGGTACTTTGATATGCTGAATCTAAACATGTGTTTAGATTTTTGATTATGGGACCAGTTTTCAAGTTTGTCCAAGTTGGGGTCCAAAATTAAACTTTGTTTGATTTCAACAAAAATTGAATATATGGGGTTCTTTGATATGCTGAATCTAACCATGTATTTTGATTTTGGACATTGGACCATAATAGGTAAATTAAAAAAATTGAAGTTCTTAGACCACATTCTTTCTGTGTCAGAAACCTATGCTGTGTCAAATATTTAATCACAATCCAAATTCAGAGCTGTATCAAGCTTGAATGTTGTGTCCATACTTGCCCCAACTGTTCAGGGTTCGACCTCTGCGGTCGTATCAAGCTGCGCCCAGCGAAGCATTTTATTTATAAACAGTGATGAAGGTGTTAAGCTGTTGTTTTTTGTGAACAGTTTTGTTGTGCTACAAAAAGGGTTTGAAAAAGTCCCCAAAATTTGGTTCAAAGGAGAATTTCAATTCATTAGAGTGATGCCTTTCCTGAAACCATAGACATTTATCTATCAAGAGGTCCAAAAAAAATCATATGCATTTCAGCTCATTTTGCCATAAAATTGAATTGAAAAGTTCAAGGGTCAAATCTTTGTTGAAAAACACTACAATAATTTCTGGACCTATGGGTGATAAGGATGTGAAAATACGGACTGTCAAACAAAAAAATGGCCCATAGAATATATGTTAGCTATCTAAAAATCAGTTTTATTGTACAAAAACTTGCATATTTAAAATATTCACCATGGCCAAAATGTGAAACTAAACTTCTAATTGTGTATTGCTACCTTAGGTCAACACTGGCAAACATGACTGTTTCCGGACCCTTGGTCCTATGTCCAAGACAAATATGTTGTTGTGCTAGCAGATAAAGCCCTGAACAACATTGGTATTGTATGTAATTTAATCACATCACATAGATAACAGAAATACCAGTAATCATCTCACTGGCAGATCTATACCAGGGAAAGTCCCTGTTTTATGAATGACAAACGTCCAGGGAATCTGTAGGTAGATAAAGTACATAGCAGACCTGCCAACTCTCTTGATTAATGGTGGATTTCTCTGAGGAATCATGTTTGACACCTGCAGTCCTTAATTTTAAACTAAATTTATCAAACAGGCATGCAAATGAGTTGAAAATATTTGAAAGCACATATGACATATATATAAGAGATGTCTTTAGCATGTTTAGTCTCTGTCTTCTTAGATTATAAAAAGTTGGCAGTTTTGATATTGTAAGTTGTTAAGGAAATATTTTAACTTTTTGAATAGTTAAACATGCTGGTGAGCGACACAGAATCTTTAGAGCCTGTAGTTTAATTCTATTTTAGTGTCAATTTCTGTAGTGTCCTTAACATCAAGTTCACTAGGATATCGTTAGTTTCAAGCACTCAAGCCCTGTAAAATGAATTTTTACATACAATTTATGAATTATGTTTTATGTTGTGTAGTTTTACCACATTTGAATGTAATTTTGAAGGTTTTTGTTTAAATCGTTTCACATTTTGCCATGCCTGGGCCTTTTATAGCTTACTATATATTAAATCTTTTGCTCATTGTTGAGAGCTGTACAATGACCTGTAAATATAAATGTGGTATGATTGCCAATGAGACAACTCTTCACAAGAGACCAAATGACACAGAAATTAACAGCTATAGGTCACCGTACGACCTTCAACAATGAGCAAAGCCCATACCACAGTCAACTATAAAAGGCCCCTAAATGACAAATGTAAAACAATTCAAACGAGAAAACTAACGGCCTAATTAATGTACCAAAAAATTAAGGAAAAACAAATATGTAACACAGCATCAACCACTGAATTACAGGCTCCTGACTTGGGATAGGCACATACATACAGAATATGGCAGGGTTAAACACACAAAATGTTCACATCCTTGCCCTTTGGTTTTCATGGAAAATTGTCTCATAGGCCATAATATCACATCTCCTGACTTTGGCCTTCATAGATATTTGTCTCATAGGCCATCATATCACATAGCCTGACTTTGGCCTTCCTAGATACTGTAAATTCAGAAATTATTGCGAAGTTTTTATTAATGCGAATAATGCGACTGGGTGAGTATCGCAATAATATGAACTCGCATTTTGATATCTGAAACATATATTTGTATGCAGATTTTACTGAAATCGCAATAATTAAACTCACATTTATGTCCATTTTTTAACATTCGCAATAATAAATGCACGCAATAATTTCTAAATTTACAGTAGTTGTCTCATAGGCCATGCATCATATCACATAGTCTGACTTTGGCCTTCATAGATAGTTGTCTCATAGGCCATCATATCACATCGCCTGACTTTGGTCTTCATGTATAGTTGTCTCATAGGCCATCATATCACATAGCCTGACTTTGGTCTTCATGTATAGTTGTCTCATAGGCCATCATATCACATAGCCTGACTTTGGTCTTCATGTATAGTTGTCTCATAGGCCATCATATCACATCGCCTGACTTTGGTCTTCATGTATAGTTGTCTCATGGGCCATCATATCACATAGCCTGACTTTGGTCTTCATGTATATTCGTCTCATAGGCTATCATATCACATCGCCTGACTTTGGTCTTCATGTATAGTTGTCTCATAGGCCATCATATCACATAGCCTGACTTTGGTCTTCATGTATAGTTGTCTCATAGGCCATCATATCACATCGCCTGACTTTGGTCTTCATGTATAGTTGTCTCATAGGCCATCATATCACATAGCCTGACTTTGGTCTTCATGTATAGTTGTCTCATAGGCCATCATATCACATCGCCTGACTTTGGTCTTCATGTATAGTTGTCTCATAGGCCATCATATCACATAGCCTGACTTTGGTCTTCATGTATAGTCTCATAGGCCATCATATCACATCGCCTGACTTTGGCCTTCATAGATAGTTGTCTCATAGGCCATCATATCACATAGCCTGACTTTGGTCTTCATGTATAGTTGTCTCATAGGCCATCATATCACATAGCCTGACTTTGGTCTTCATGTATAGTTGTCTCATAGGCCATCATATCACATAGCCTGACTTTGGTCTTCATGTATAGTTGTCTCATAGGCCATCATATCACATAGCCTGACTTTGGCCTTCTTGGAAATTTGTGGGGAAGCAACATTTGTAATAGCATTTTATCTATGTTTATTTTTCAGATGTTCAAGTTCAAGGGATTCCAAAGAATATGACATTGTATTTGATGACAGAGTTTTTGACCTAGTTTTTCCTTATGTTCTGTGGGCAAGAGGTGATCTTAGGCAGGCCTCCCAAGCCTTCCTGAAATTAGTTGACCGTGAGTCTAAAGGTAAGTTTATCTGAGATCCAGCATGATAAAAAAATCATTAAAACAAAATCTTGTTTGAATGGTTTTACACTAGTCATTGTTGGGGCCCTTTATAGCTTGCTGTTCAGTGTGAGCCAAGGCACTGTGTTGAAGGCCATACTTTGACCTATACTGGTTTACTTTTACAAATTTTGACTTGGATGGAGAGTTGTCTCATTGGCACTCATACCACATCTTCTTATATCTATTTACACATTAATAAGAAGATGCGGTATATTGCCAATGAGACAACTCTCCACCAGAGACCAAATGACATAGAAGTTAACAACTATAGGTCATCTTACAGCCTTCAACAATGAGGAAACATCATACCACATATATATATGCAGCTATAAAAGGCTCCTAAATGACAAATGTGATAGCCAGTCATCACACCATGACTCCATCCTAATAATGTCTGGACTTTCTTTTGGAAGTGGGTTGCTGGAGTAATTGGACATAAACTCTCTTGACCTTTTGCAGCAAATTCACATTTTGTGATTGAATTCCACACTACATAGTGGAAATCTTGTTTATTTTTGTAGCTAATTTTATTATTTATTATATTTTCAGTGAGGGTGAAAGCAATGTATCTATCTGAAGCAGGAAGGGTGTCTCTAGCTAAGTTTATTATTTATTATATTTCAGTCAGGGTGAAAGCTATGTATCTATCTGAAGCAGGAAGGGTGTCTCTAGCTAAGTTTATTATTTATTATATTTCAGTCAGGGTGAAAGCTATGTATCTATCTGAAGCAGGAAGGGTGTCTCTAGCTAAGTTTATTATTTATTATATTTCAGTCAGGGTGAAAGCTATGTATCTATCTGAAGCAGGAAGGGTGTCATTAGCTTAGTTTATTATTTATTATATTTCAGTGAGAGTGAAAGCTATGTATCTATCTGAAGCAGGAAGGATGTTTCTACATTTCGGAGACAGTGATTCTGCTGTTAGATATTTCCATTTAGCCAAAGATGCATTAGCAACAAAACAAAAACACAACAAAGAAGATTTAGTGGCTGAAATTGACAGACAGACTAGGATGCTATGTGCTGCGTCTAATGATGTAGGGTAAGATACTGTAGATATAAGATACTATGTGCTACGTCTAATGATGTAGGTTAAGATACTGTAGATATAGGATGCTATGTGCTGGGTCTAATGATGTAGGTTAAGATACTGTAGATATAGGATGCTATGTGCTGGGTCTAATGATGTAGGTTAAGATACTGTAGATATAGGATGCTATGTGCTGGGTCTAATGATGTAGGTTAAGATACTGTAGATATAGGATGCTATGTGCTACGTCTAATGATGTAGGGTAAGATACTGTAGATCTAGGATGCTATGTGCTGTATCTAATGATGTAGGGTAAGATACTGTAGATATAGGATGCTATGTGATGTATCTAATGATGTAGGGTAAGATACTGTAGATATAGGATGCTATGTGCTGGGTCTAATGATGTAGGTTAAGATACTGTAGATATAGGATGCTATGTGCTACGTCTAATGATGTAGGGTAAGATACTGTAGATATAGGATGCTATGTGCTGTGTCTAATGATGTAGGGTAAGATACTGTAGATATAGGATGCTATGTGCTGCGTCTAATGATGTAGGGTAAGATACTGAAGATATAGGATGCTATGTGCTGTGTCTAATGATGTAGGGTAAGATACTGTAGATATAGGATGCTATGTGCTGTGTCTAATGATGTAGGGTAAGATACTGTAGATCTAGGATGCTATGGGCTGTGTCTAATGATGTAGGGTAAGATACTGTAGATCTAGGATGCTATGGGCTGTATTGTAGATTATTGAATAACTTAAGGAATTATCACTGGTACAATTATGTCTACAATTTAAAAACTATATTGTAATTAGCTTTTAGGTATCACAGTTATATATAGTTCTGTTTCATGTGACTGCTTGCACAGAATTGAGGAATGTAAAAAAGAAGATGTGGTATGATTGCCAATGAGACAGCTCTCCACAAGAGACCAAATGACACAGAAATTAACAACTATAGGTCAC